TCAGGGCACATACCTAGGTTGTGGGTTTGATCCCCAGTTGGGGCACGTACAGGAGGTAACCTATCTGTGTTTCTCTCTCATGTTAATTCCCCTCCTTCCCTCCCTCCCTCTCTTTTTAAGTAAAAATGCTGTTTGAGATACAGCTAGTAGACTTGGATTCTAGGCCCTTCCCAACAGAACAGAAGCACCTTGCACTGCCCCAGAGCTGCTTTTCTCTCTTCTGAGACTAGTGCTTCTATTACTATTGTTTCCATGTGACAAAAGGGAAATGGGGGTTGTGGGCTTAATTGACCTGACCTCAGGTCGCAAAAAGAAATAGTGGCAGTAAGAGGCTCTGACCCAGAGCACTTTTAGGAGCCGAGATTGCTCCCACACTGACATCTGCACCAATGGTTGTCAACCGTAGTTGCACAGTGCACTCCTCTGAAGAGCTTTAAAAAATATCCCAAAGGATCCCTGGCAGACCAATTAGCAAAGCAGTTAGCCTAGACGTAAGAGCCACACTCTGAGTTCAAGTCCTTCCTCCGTCACCTCCTAGCTGTGTGACCTTGGCAAGGCACTCAACTTCTCTGTGCTTCAGTGTTCCTCTTTGTAAAGTGGCGATAATAACACCACCTTCTTTGTGGGGTTGTTCTAAGATTAAGTAAGTTTCACAGGAATAAGGCACTCAGAACAGGGCCTGCCATATGGTAATCGCTATTTAAAATCCTGACAGACAGAATCTGGGGGTCAGGGTTTTGTTGTTGTTGTTTTGTTAATCCTCACCTGAGGGTATTTTTTCCATTGATTTTTTTTTTTTTTAATTTTTACAAATACCCTTTTTTTTTTTTTTGCCAACTTTTATTATATTTTATTTTTTTAAAATTTTATTTTTGTTTAAAATATCACAGATGTCCCATTGATTTTTAGAGAGAATGTAACGGAGGGAGGCAGGGAGGGAGGAGGAGAGAGAGAGAGAGAGAAAAAAAAAAATCGACGTATATCTTGGTTGCCTCCCCCACGCGCCCTTGACCAGAGGAATCGAATTCCGTCCGCCGGTGGACGCTCTAACCACTTCGCCGCCCGGACAGGTCCGGAGAGCGTTTCATAATTAGTCCTCCTCGGGATTCTAACGTGCAGCCTGCGTTTGCAGCTTGCGGACGTAGCGCCTCTTTTGGGATTCCGCTTCCCCGAAAAGTTAACATTAACCAATCGGTGAAGGGCGCTTTTTTTTTTTTCTTTTCTTTCCTTTTCCTCCTGTAAAATTTTGAGTTCAGAAACTTGTTACCTGGACCCTGCGGAGCAAAGGGATTCGCCCTATACTCTCTGGGAGTTGTAGTTTGCTAAAGGTTCTGTAGGCGCTCGGTGGCCAGCTCGGAACTACAACTCCCACAATGCCGCGCGCCACCCGCCCTGCCTCTCGCCGGTGGCTCTCTCCGGCTACCCAGCACCGCCTCTCGGCGGCGGCTTCAGAGGCACTATGGCCGACGGCGCCGGCGCTCCTGCTG